CCACGTGCACTGAAACAAATAGATCCCGAGGCACTCAGAAGACCTTGGTTGAGCATAAATCCACTAAGTGGCACACACTCCAACTCACCCTGAACTGTCATCACAGATGATGACGACGTCTGTTTCCATGGCCACAGGCGCAGTTTGCCAGTGTACCGTGTAAGATGCTTTTCGGTGTATGAACTGCAGAACTCCATTATGTCACCTCGTCTTGAGCTCTTAAATCCAGCAGAGGGGCCGGTCGCACAAGACGACCTTCCAAGTTTCGGTGACGGCGCCGTTGAGTCTCTAAGGCTCGGGTGTTCCACACTTCGGGCTTGGGTATGGCTGGCTGACGACGGCTAATAAGCCAGAAATGGCCATTCCAGTCTCCCTTGTCTTTGTCGGTAATATCATTCTGTCTCTAAGGTCTCCCGTCTGATGATGAGTCCCCCAACAGACTACCCAAAAAAGGTCTCACGGCCGAATGGGGAGTGCCGCTGGGACGATGACCACCCCCCGTCCCCCTTCATTCTCACCCCGCCCGACCACGCGGGCGCGCCCCGATCGCCTCTAACACAACGCCGGCGGTGACCTAGACGCTGCATGGGTGAGTTACCATGGCAAGGAGCCACTGACAGGCGTCGTCGTTTTCGCATTCACTGTCACATTGGCCTCCATCCATCAAACAGTTCACCCCTAGACGACAGACTTGGTGAGGCCCCGAGCGTGTGCGGACACAATCCCACCTCCTGTCGTGTCTGTCTGGTTGTTTTTCTACCATCCTATCGTTCACGGCCTTTGGTATGCCCAGATGGCACAGTGAACCTGCTCATCATATAAATTGGCGTTGGGACTGACAGGCTGCTGCACAAAGACACAAAGGTCACCAAATAGCAATTTCCCCTCCTCCTCCTCCTCCTCCTCCTCCTCCTCCTCCAGCCCCCTCCTTATATTCTGTTACGCCCCCACCCTCGTCCTCTTTCACCTCATGGTTCTACATAATTTTCTCTGCGTTTAGACACTTTCTCTGAAAGTCAGTTGGTCCTCTTCCCATTTGACATTCTGCTTCTATCGCTGATTGCGTCGTCCATTCTTATTTTGCAGAATTGAATTAACAGGTGTTATCATCACTTTGTCGAAGGTTGCTAGAAGAGGATTGCACCCAATGACATTGCAAAGCCAGATCAGTTGGGAGAATGGGAAGCCAAACGATCGTTTCCAGTTTATTTCTCATCGTCAGTCAGTTAAACCACAACCACAGACCGTCAGAACCTAAGGCATGGCATCAGGTTCAGTTAGTAAGTGGACTTAGCGTTCGACCGGATAGGTCAATAATACCTATCGATTATAGATGGCTCATTGCAATGCAATCCCCCGTGTGAGGTCCGTATCGGAGCTCTAAGAAAACCCCAAAATAGGCCAATTTAGTGAACACGCCACCCGCATGATCCGAACACTGCACGCGTAAGGAAAGTATGAATGAAACAAACATGCCGTTATTGAATTTGGCACTGTTTACCGTGGAGGGAGTGTTGAGGGAGTGGGCAGATCGGAGGCACACAAAAGGTGTTGACATTCGCTTGGTTTGCGGCCGCCTGAGTGAGCCCTATAAGTGGACTCTAAAGCGAAACGAAACTTCGGGTTCGGCACGCAACACAACGTTAAGGAATAAATGCCGAAATGCCCTAAAGCCAACCGTTACACAAATGTCCCGTTGCTAGACTTTACACGATGTCCGAAAAAAGACTGTATCCTGCGGCAGCACCAGTATGTATTGCTATTGGGAGGTTGACGGCGACACTTAAGTTATGCTTGCAAACGAATGAAGCGTTGAGTACAGGCATACTTTCCTTCCACTGATGGTGTGGACTCATGTGAAAAAACGGTGGATATTCCATCAACAAATAGAATAAGTTTTATGGGCAATTGGTGGGAGAAGCAGGGGTTGAGGTCACATTATAACATAGTCGTCAATAATGTTTGGCATTCAGGCTTTTAAGCCGTCATACCTTACGCTTACGGGAATATCCACAGTTTTATTCTCTTGCTGATGATACCCTATAGAGGGCAACGGGGTGCGGTCCTAGTAGGATTTGCAGAGAAATTTCCCCCTCCAATATGTCTGTAGAGCAAAGGAGATGCAGACAGCGGACGTCAAACTTATGTAGTCTACTTTGGCTTGAGGACGTCAGTTCTCTCTGCAGTGGAAATTTAGCTTCCTGACCAGTCATCCATGGAAAATCTTGTCGAACTGACAGAGCGGTAGCCGAGGAAGCGTGGTCGCATAAAATGCCCTTCAGATCTCTGATGCCGCAGATCCTCTAGCATTACTTAACAAGCACGCATGCGTATTTGGTACAACCGAGTGAGGAAATCCTGTAGGAACTGATAGGAGTTAAGTGTCGAATCTGCCTTTAACGGCAACCGTCGCCGTCGCCATCACTAGTACTGCCACCACCATCACCATCATTACCACCAGTACCACCACCGCTACGCAGGCTCCCCTAATGATCCCTCGTAAATTAGGATGCGCCAACTGTATTTCGTAGTATAGCTGTCGGTTCTAAAACTGGGCTTGTAGGCGGTGGCGGTGGGATCGGGAATTTCCCACTCTCCACCACCTCCTCCTCCTCCCCTCACATGTGGGCATGCCGTCGGTCAAATGCAGATCAAAGAAAGGGACGCCTGTGGCCGCCGACCCGCCCTGCGAATGTCAACACCATTGTAGTAAAACAACAGTCCCCAATACCTAATTTCGCTCTTGTCGGCATCAACTCATCGGCGGAATGCGACGAAAACGACGACGACGACGATGACCGCGCTGCCCCGCGTGCACACGTGCGCCACCCCGGGCGCGTAGGCCCGTACAGAAGGCGCGCACGTCTGCGAGAGGGAGAGTGCGAGAGCAATTCAATTTTGCCCGCCTTTAACGGGACGGCGAATAAATCACACACACGCTCGCGCGCACACACACGGAAGGAGCATAAAAGCCAGGTATTTCGTCTCCCCCTTGTGAAGCAAGAGTTTGAAGAATCGCCGACCACCCCCACTTTGGGCGATGGCGAGTAATTTGGCCACCAAAATTTCTCATTAGGAGGAACATGAGGGGCCGGCGAACGTCGTAGTGGCCAGTGTGTGCGCTTGTGTCTGGTAAATTGCTCCCAATACCATAAACTTTGTCTGAGGCTTTAAAGGTGAGACTAATAAGGGAGGAGGTGGTGGGGGGGGGAGGGTCGGGGTTGGTCGTTGCAGGAGTGGCGCCCTTAAACATCTCACGCCATTTTAAGCCCCCACGAAGTTCATCGCGGTTACATAAAGCTGTCGTCGCCGGAGTTTGGTGCGTTCGCGGGACGGGGATCTGAAGACAAGTTTTGGCGCATCTTGAAACTTTTCAGGCCATAAAGCGTCACAGCTTTGGAAGAACTGCGCGTACGCGGGGAAATACGGCAATGCCAAAAATTCGCTAAATCAGACAGCACGGCGGCACTGTGGACGGAATACTACCTGGCAATCCCGCTTGCCCCACTGCAACATCCTGACCTAATTAGCCCAAAATGTCGAATATTCAGTAGTCAGTGGGGGAAGCAGTAAAATCAGGAGGTCTTTGTTTGATTGAAGTTTGACGAGTCCACGGCCGAATGTGGAGCCCATCAGAAGGACTCAAACCCCGAAAATCGGGCACTTTCGCTGAGAGTTCTGACAGAAGTTTCGGTGTTTCTACCTACCTCCAGAATTATGGGCAACTATAGCTTCTGGATGGTTAGTGGAAAACCATAAGTGGCTGAACGGAAGATGTCCAGATGCAGAAATTGAATAAAACACTCTGAGACCCATCTGAGTCTGCGATGCCTAACAGCATAAACCATTTGTCTAGTTGGAGGACAGTTCGTATTCGCAGCCGTTATAGGGTTCAAGGCCGCACAAAACTCACAGATTGGCCAGACTTATAGTACGCATCGAAACTCACGAATCATCTGAGTGCCTCAGTGCTCCCTCAAAGGAAAGAGAATGCTTAGTCGGAACGGGCGAAAAGGCAGATTCCAGGGGAGAGTTGGGAAAAAAAGGCTATTTGGCCGACGAAACAAGAGTTTTGTTCGCCTAGCCTCAGAGGTGATGGCAAGATCTGTTAACAACGAGCATAACATCGGCTTAATTCATGCATGGCAGAATGTTGTACTCGAACAAAAAAAAAAAAACAGTACTGTCTGTGAAGAGGGTGTTTTTGGGTGATTTATAGTGTCTGTATAAACACGGTCACCTTCTATTAGTAACGATGCCCAAAAGTTCCTTCTCTCCACCCGGTTTATAGAGACTTAGGTTTTTTGAGACCGATGCCTTTATTTCGGCTTAAAACTTCGCCAACATGAGTAAATTTCAAGTCATAATCCACACTTTCACTTGTTTTAAAATTTAAGAATTGTGTGGTACGCGTATTCACCGTAACCAATTTACGCGTCCCTGTAAGGAGACTTCCTACTGTTCATCGAATACTGTTGCCGTTCCGTATTTTGGGAGCTACTTTAACGAACCTGCCGACAGGCTACATGAATAGGCAAACGATCAACCGAAAATTATTAATTAAACTTCTTCAGACCTAGATGCCGCCCTCCGTCGACTGCTGAGCTGAGTAAATACGCAATTTCCTATAAATCGAGTATAATAATGCATTTCATGTTCATTTCATCTATAAAATATGATTGATATTTTGCGCAGGAATGCATGCCAAGACAGTCATGAAGAATCTTATGAAAGACCGGACCTCTAAATTGGTCGCAGAACAAATGCGATCTGAGCCGAGTGGAACCCTGTTGCTTTTGAGGGTAGTAACGGATAATAACAACGTGACCAGTAGGACGACAGCAAGAATCAGTGTAGACACCAGCGCAAACCGCCCTGTCTGGACGTCAGCCCTCCTCTCCACTGGCTACAAAGTACTGCAACCGGCCATATGTCACGCGAATGCCCAACCACGTGAATGACCTTTGACCAAAACTCAAACGGCATGACCATGAACAACTTCAGTTGTGTGAAATTCGATGTCGTTCTGCCTTCCGACAGTGGCAAGTTGTTCGTTTTCGAAACGTCAGCGCAACGAGCCTTTCGTTTCCGGGACCGCCCTTCTTCTTTTTCTTCTTTTTCTTCCTCTTCTTCTTCTTCTTCTTCTTCTTCTTCCTCTTCTTCTTCCTCCTCTCCCCACCACCACCACCACCACCACCACCACCACCATCACCACCACCACCACCACCACCACCACCACCACCACCACCACCGTCGTCGTCGTCGTCGTCGTCGTCGTCGTCGTCGTCGTCGTCGTCGTCGTCGTCGTCGTCGTCATCATCATCATCATCATCATCATCATCATCATCATCATCATCATCATCATCATCATCATACCCACCCGTCACCCCCACACGTTGCCGTAATTTATACATTTTTATAATTTCGTTGTCATTTGCTTTCGCCAAGCCAATTCGGACCGTGTATGGGTCCTAGTCTCGCAGAAGCCCACAAGCCGGGAGAACGATTTCGTGGGTCGGTTTGGTAAAAGGAAGGTTTCCTGTGGTTCCTGGGTTTAAAGGTGAACGCCCTTATCCAGCTCATCCGGCACACCAAATTACTGCTTCAGGACTATGCAAGACGATGGTGAAATCTTGCTGAACCGCGGGCAAAATTCCTCACAACTGTGGCTTCTGACATTTTCATGGGTAACCGATTTGTCACATTGGTACCCAGTTACGTCAGAAGGTGTTACCGCTGAATGGTCAGTGGTCAGTTTTGCCGTCAGACACGAAGGTCTGCTTATTTTGCGGCTAGCCCCGCTGAGAGTCGTTTCAACACCTGCATGCGTCGAATAGTGGAAAATTAGGCTTAACAGGCAGATCTCTTGCCTCGGGGGTTCTTTTCGTCCCCGCAGTGGAACCGTGCCAACTTGCACTACTTAAATTAAAGTGTACGCTTTGTAGACTGTACAGAAGCTGTGGTCTCAAATGTGGTTCTGACGCAATTGCCATGTACAGTTGTGCGCTCCCCCATTCTTGACGTCAACGAGTCAAAAACTAGTAACTGCCTGGCCGACATGACGCAGTACACAGGCTTTTATATAAATAGGCAAGCCAGTCCTAAGTAAGATGGAGGGGAGTGCACGAATATCGAAATTTTACAAATGCAGCTATAAAACAAAGCACAGCATCAAAGTGTGAAATTACTGAAAATCAGGTGAACGCCGTCTTTTTTTAAAATCGCCTCACTTTCGGTCAGTCTACTTCAAAGTAAATTGAATGAAAACCACGAGAAGGAAGTAAGTCGGGTTGACGCGGCCTCATGCAGAATCCGGCTCCAATGCCGTTCTTCACGCCATCCTATTCCTTCAATGCGCAAGGTTGAGCCTAAGTGGTGAAAGCGTTCGTAATTCCGATGTTCCAGGAATCAGCTATCGAAGTTATTCTTAAACTTGTTCTATCCGATTCAGGTTGAGTGATGCAGGTGATCATGGGAGGCATCTGATATTTTGAGGCCAGTTTGAAATCCTTAACTGGGCATTTTCTTCCTGGAAAGTCACTCTTGACAGTTTTGACAGCAGAGTAGCATTACCGACGAAGAAAAGGGAGACTTGGGTGACCGGTTCTGGCTTATTAACCGTCGTTAATCAGTCATACCCAATCCTGCTATCGGTCTTGGAAATATTAGGAGTACGGGCAAACACAGCCCCTCTATACAGCACAAACCACTAACTTTCACATCAAGAAAACCGGACTGTTCTTTCTTGAGCACTAGACTGCATTCCAAACATGAATGGAATCCCCGATCATCTTAAAAAGTCAAGGCACTTCGACCTTCGATCTCCACATCCGCACTCATACGCCAGTTCTCCTTGGTCGAAATCCCGACCAATTGGCAGAGGTAACTATGTTCCATCGTGAAAAACAAACGCGCCATCCAAACGCCCAGTTCAGGCCAGCTCGTTTATGCTTTCGCCTCAACCAGGGCGTTTTAAACAGTATTTTTTCATAACTATTTTCACAATACGAACAAGCGTCTGAAGTCTGTTCTTGCTATGCAAGACTGAAGTGAGTGCGGACCAACTACATCTCACGTTTCTCAATAGCTTCCTGTGACTGTGTATTGTCATAGCGCTGGCAAACCGCTGTCGGAAATCTGCTGGCAGCCGTTGTTACGTATCTTTTCGGCTATCGCACAACAGAGGTTCATTCAAAAATTTAACAACCCAATGCGTTAATTTGTCTGCCTTTCAAATCTCGATCACCTATCAGTTTTTTCTTTGCCGGATAGCATGATGACTTCAAAGGATTATTTGTGCCATGGGGCTAGCAAGATATCGTTTTTTAGCCTGGATGGGCTCCACAGTAGACCATACTAGTTAGCACAAACATGATTCGTCCAGCCGCCCTATAATGTGGCACACACAAATGTACTTTTAGGGTGCGCTGGGCGATCCACGCAGACAGAAGTCTGGGTACTACTCCTATTGGCTGACTGACCTGGGGTCGGTTTTTTGGACATTCGTACATTTTTGCGCAGCAGGTACGGTTGGATTGATTCATCGCCCTATCTCCTCCTCGTCAGGACAAGCTTCAAAAGTAATTAGGCAGGTTTAACTCAAACGGTCTCCGGAAGTAAAAAAAAAAACTTAGGACTTTCAGCAAACATTTGCTGATAAGTCGGAAGGAACCGCTGACATTCAAAATTCATGCAGATACTCTACCTGCTGAGATCTACCTGCGACAGAATCATCACTCATCGCAACTGTTCTCGGTAGGTGCGATGATGGCTTGGTCGCCAACATCCGGGTAGTTACCGATCGCGATGTCATCAGCAGGGGTTACAGATTCGTGCAGGTGTTGACATACAAAGGACATCCCAATGCCGTTGTCCAGGACGGACGGACGACAGAGAGGGAAGTAAGAGACCAACTGATCTTTCTTGATCTCCTAATCTGCCGCAAAGAGTTTGGTGGCCTAAAAGTCGAAGGTGACAGATATGACGAAAATCGTAAGCTTCAGTGGCGATCGTCCAAATTATCCTTATGTGAACTCACACAAAGGCGCTCTACTGAAGTGTCGAGGCGCACAGCAGTGCATCGGAAGCCAAACTTGTTGAAATACAATGTTTTCGACTGGTACACAGAGCAGATGGCTGTCCGCACACCTCTGTCAACTGGTGCATACACAACTAAGATGAGAGGACGCACCGCATCGTGGGCAAATTTTGATGACCGTTCGTGGGCGTCAAGTAGATCTGGGAAGTCTCCAACTACAGTGAGTGGCCGATCTCATGAAATGTTGGCTGCAATTCTGAAATGCGTTTTCGATTAGGAAGGATTACTTAAACGCGGTTGTAATACTGATTATCTGGCGGCATAATCTTATAACATTTCGGACTCGGTAGGATGTTTGCTCTTGAAGACACTGCTTTTCAATCTCCTGTCGAAACGTACTTGGTAAAAAATGGCTACTTAAGTAGCATGCATTTTTCTCATTGATTTTAGATGATCTTGCAGATTCAAATATATCCTATAAAAACCATGAACAAAAATATGCCTTCTTTTAGTCACTTAATAGAGAATGATGTCTTCTTTATATTTTTTATTCAAGGAAGGATTACAATTAGGTTTTAAAAAAGTGTCTAATTATGAGACCGCGCAATGTCCATTCACATAGCATCGTACCTGGCCGTTTATAACAGCTCCTCGTGAAATGTACAACATAGTCCGGATCCATTGCAAAATTTTATAAACTCTATATGTTGTCTTCCTGAGGGCATAGAGGAATATATGATTTTCCTTACTTGGAAAGCATGCGCCTTGCAAACTGAGATCGCCAAACGCTAATGCAATCGCAGATCTGGCTCAAAATTATTCGGGAGTTGGAAAATTTTTAAAACCCAGTTATAATCCTTCCTTGAATAAAAAATATAAAGAAGACGTCATTCTCTATTAATTGACTAAAAGAAAGCATATTTTTGTTTATGTTCTTTATAAGATACAGTGCGTGACCTATCTCATGAAATGTTGGCTGAAATTCTGAAATGCGTTTTCGATTAGGAAGGATTACTTGGTGGCGGTTGTGACACTGATTATCTTAAGGCATACTCTTATAACATTTTGGACTCGGCAGGATGTCGGCTTTTAAATGCCCTTCTTTTCAATCTCCTCTAGAAAGCGTACTCGGTAAAAAATGACTACTTAAGGAGCATGCATTTTCCCATTAATTTTCGATGGTCTTTGAAATTCAAATATATTTTATAGAAACCACAAACAAAAAAATATGCTTTCTTTTGGTCAATCAATAGAGAATCACGTCTTCTTTATATTTTATACTTAACAAAGGAGTATAAGTAGGTTTTAAAAAAGTTTTCTAATTGCCGAATAATTTGGAGCCTGATCATTCGTTGCATTAGCGCTTAGTGATTTCACTCTACAAGGTGCATACGTTCCGCGTAAAGAAAATCACATACTTTTCTATGTCATTAAATAGATATCATATAGGGTCCATAAAATTTTGCAATGGATGCGGACCATGTTGTACATTTCATGAGGAGCAGTGGTAAACGGCCAGGTACGATGCTATGCGAATTGACCTTTCGCGGTCTTAAAAAGTCTCATAATTAGAAACTTTTTTAAAACCTAATTATACTCCTTCCTTAAGTATAAAATATAAAGAAGACGTGATTCTCTATTGATTGACTAGAAGAAAGCACATTTTTGTTTGTGGTTTCTATAAAATATATTTGAATTTCCAAGACCATCGAAAATCAATGGGAAAAATGCATGCTACTTAAGTAGTCATTTTTTACCGAGCACGCTTTCTACAGGAGATTTAAAAGGAGTGCATTTTAAAGCCGACATTCTGCCGAGTCTAAAATGCTACAAGAGTATGCCTTAAGATAATGAGTATCACAACCGCGACCAAGTAATCCTTCCTAATCGAAAACGCATTTCAGAATTTCAGCCAACATTTAATGAGATCGGTCACTCACTGTACTTTCTCATTGCCAGTCTGAATTGGACTTGCACACAGACCGGAAGTAACCATCTGGGGCCAGTAAATGGAGCCAAAAAACCCGCATCCAGGACAGGAAACGTCCTACTAAGTTATTTACACTATCTGATGCAGTTGCGGACGAAACGACTACATGGGGGGAAAATCAGAAAGATTACTATGGAAGCGAGTGGCCGAATACACAGCAACGAGGAGGCGGAATGACGTGGACAGTCAAGTCGCGGCTTGCTCGAAAGGACTCGGCGGCACCTCCAAGTTTGTTCAGGTGTACATCCTTGCGAAGTACGTGAGTCGCGAACTGCTTGAGTCATGGCTCACCGGTTCGCATCTCATTAGCAAACGCAGTGCTCTTCCCCCTCTCTATGCGGTGCTAAGACCTTGTCTGGGAAAGATGATTAGTCACACTGGGGTTTGCGGCTGAAGACTGTTTCATCAGTAACAGTATTAGTGACCCAACTAACCAGGTAATTATCATGCCAGCTAACAACGCAGGTGATGAAATCGCAGTCATTGGCTATTCAGATTGGCAGTGACTAAGTCCTTATCGCATAGGGTATGAATATCTTCGGTGAAAGTGGGAGCCGCTAACATCAGTGGGTGCATGGTTGCACACCCTTGAGTGTCCGATACCCCATCTGTTCAGAAGAAGATGCGACCTCTAGAACAAGAGGTTTATTGGCCTGACGTTTCGGATTCCAGCTCAAACCCATCATCAGAGACAATCACAGATAAGGGTGATAGAGACACAAGGACTGCAGTCATTATGGGACGCAGTCGCCAAGCAACCACATGGCCACTACTATGAGCAAGCTTCCGCACTCGTCCCCGGGGGGGGGGAGGTTGTAACTGATGCGATGATGGCTTGGTAGTCCACACCCTAGTCATTCATTTCTTCACAATCTCGGCCAAACAGACACAAAGAGGGAGAACAGCTACGCCTTACAAGTCAAAAACATGACAGTACCGGTTAATTCACATGACTGACATTCTTGGGTGCGATAGTTTAGTAGATAGAACATCTGGCGGGACGGTAGGAGATTCACCCCACCGAACCCTCTTCTGACTGTGAGATTTTCTATAGTCTGTCTTCATACAACTGGCACTACATAACAATGACTTACTTGAGAAAGAGGGAAATTGAAAAATTACCAGAACCACTAATTTATCGGTCTGAGCCATCGAACTAGCACAGGAGTCCATCGTCAGAGGTTTCAGAAGTAATACAGCGAGCAGTAAGTGCAACAAAAACAACACTTCTTTTAGGTACCCCAATCCATTCATTGCTATATACATGCAAGAGAACTGAACAAGCGTCTGTCGCATCATAGAATAAGGACCGTGAAGGGGCTGAAAAGAAAAAAAGACATTTTCGCAAGCTTTTGGGACCTGAGAATCTTCGACATACGACCGAACAGTATCAAAGATTTCATGCTATGTCTCAAAGCACGATGAATTACTATTACCTCATTTCGAAAAAATTAAGTGGGCTCGAACGATGACGGCTTCTGAGGTTTGGTTACAACCAGAAAAGAGTCCTGTTTCACTATTAGACGACATTGTTCTCCATGTAAAAGTGTCATCAGGGCAGCGACGAGTGAAAGAAAACTGCGGAACAGATCGTCGTCGAAAAACTGTAACTTGCCTAATTGCAGCCGTCTTCATCCCTGTGAGAGGATACTTACCATAGAAGGAGGAATCATCCTTTAAATTAAGGTTGCTGATATTTTTCAGGGAAGAGCGGCGGACAGAAGGCAGTTTATTTTCCACTCTCGAGTATTCTCTTTAAAAAAGACCAGCTTGTTTATATTTCCTAATAAACACGAACGTTCAGCCACAGCGATGTACTCACTGCCGATGAGGATTAATCGGCATTGCTCTGGGAACCAGCTGATATTGTCTCGTCTTCGCTAGCTCATTTCTTTCCGGCGTGGTCATTAGGCGTTCTAATCGAATAACAGGAAACAATACAAAAGCGATAACACTGCCGATTGGTTGGCGAAAAAATGGCGGTTCATTTTCAAAATCCCGGCTGAAATGATTCGTCCAAGTGCTTTCAAACCTGCTAAACAGTGAACACTTCTTCAAGTTTCCACCAGTCGCAGAAGAGCAGCTTAAGAGCACTGTATCATCAGTAGTAGATTGAGAAATAGAAAACTCAAAAGTAAACGACGTACTCGCTGTGGAAGTTAGTGTCGTCCGGAGGCCGATATCTGAAGGACGCACGCAATCCCAAAACCGGTATTGTATTTTGTAAAGACCTCAAGCAAATTGCCGAACAGGTCACTGATCAGATCACGAACAGATCACTGCCGTGCAGATCACTGAATGATTTTCGACTGCTCGAAAACCGTGGGCTGGTTAAATACTAGTCGAAAAGGTTTCTTTCTTCTATTTGCATACCCGTCAAGAAACCATATGTCAGGAAGGCCTCGTAAGACTTCTTTCGACCCCCGACAGTCAAACTGTAAGGAACTGAGCTGACCTTCACTAGAGAATAAGCTGAATGTGAGTATTTTGCCAATGGATAAACAGACAGTTTTCGATGTCTTTCGAATTTTCTCTGCGCGGAAACCAAATGTATACTGTGGTCACTCTTTTTCTCAATAACTAAGCAACTGAGAATTCGAAACTCCGAATGCAAATAACGCTAGGGTGTGTTTATTTGTTCTGCAGAAAAAAAACCTGGAAACCCGTAAAACTGTGGACTAGTTGGTCGGGGAAATGCAGGAAACCAGTAGTGGAGATTGTGAAACATAACGACCACAGGCCGGTAGTCTTAGTGATTCATCGCACGTCAGTCGCCTGTGTTCTTGGCCGAAAACTGGATCGTGGCGTACGACAATGAGACCACAGAGCCTCATAAGCCGGAGGCCGGCAGTGTGTCTACTCATAAAGTGGTTGTCCGAAGCCAGGACCTTGCAGTCTGCTTTAGTGCTGGCCAGCACCATAATCCTTGTGTGCTCGAGCTCGCGGATCACCTGATAGTTTGACCGTCGCAAGAGACGAGGCCCACCATTGCCCCCTGAAGTGCCTGCAATCGGTACTGGCACGTGAATTTATTCATGGCGGAGCGGGATTGCGCAGCATCTGCTTCGCTCGCCCATCCCATGCCAAACATAGCTTTCTGATAACAAGACAGAACTACGTACTTCACAGGTAAAATGTGAATGACACAGTTAGACAGTACGCCTACGCTATTAACCCACGGCCTGTGTATCAGTCTACGGGCCACGCGGTGGACCAACAAAGAGGCCATATCGGATCCTGGCAGGCGTTATCGAGAACGCCCACATGTAACAAACGCCAAAATCTTGGGCAGAGCGGCAAGCTCAGCTACCGGCTCACGTCACGCCACTTTGGGTTTCTGCTGTCCGCCATATATGTTCTTGGTTAAAATATTGGTCAACTGTTTGTTGTGGACCAGGGAGTGTGCTGATACGCCTAGGTGCGGGTCCGGCCGTGTCAGCTACCTACGCCCTCCCCCGCATGCGGTCTTCATGGCTATGTCTTGACACCGGGCCCAAGTGAGGGAGGAGGATAATGTGCGGTAGCTGCTGCGCAAGTCCACTCTCATTACAAATTTAGCCGCACACACGTCACCGTGCCTGCTCTTACCCCGCGGTGGAGCACACGGAGAACACCATTGATCACAACGGTCTCCAATGAATTCCAGCACCATAAATGTCACACTAGGCCTGATCCTCAGTCCTGTGTTGGATCGAGTTCCTCCGTCAGGTAGCAATCTTAGAAGCCATGTGTGATAGCGTGTCAGATTGCCTATGATGCGAACACCTGGCATGAGAGCAGTTTTCACGGGATAGGCCCCAGTCCTCCGCCCATGCACCGATGACCTATCTGTGTTATGCCAACTTATAATGATGTTGAGTGTACTGGCTGAATAAACCTGGCGCCACTGTCCATCGCGTGCTACACTTATGCTCGCTCGTTACTCAACATGGATGTTTTGGGTGTTCGACAGGTTCGACCAGTGACCTGAACATCAGCTGGATGTGTTGGCGTTTACTCACGGCACTGGAGTCTGTGGGGTCTATCGCTTAGTCTTGGCATCCGCTATTCAGGTGGCTTTAACTATGTCCGCTCCGGTCTTCATGGCAGCATGTCAAGCCTGCGGATCTTGTATCAGGCCTTCCCAGGTCTCAACGTCAATTTACAGGTGCTTGAGGGAAGCCCTTAAAGTGTCCTTGTATCGTCACTTTCGTTTGCTCTGTCTGGGAACACAAATAGCATGTTGCCGTAATATAGCCACTTGGACAGGTGTGCGCTACCTGGGATCAGGAAGTAGCCGCTCTGCTATAGTCGTCTGCCTAAACATGGTGTGGACATTAGAATTTTCCATGCATTTGATGTCGGGGATTCTGCCATGCCACCTCAGCATAAGTTCTATGTAGAAGCAGCTGAGTTGACAGATTTCCCTAACTTGACTTCCGTAGACTGTCCTTCCCATACAGGAGGGTCGTCGAAATGACGGCTCGGTGCACTTTCAGCTTGGTGTTCTGATGGAGACCTCCACAATTCCTAAGTGAGTGCTACAGCCGACTGAAGGTCTGATTAGTTTTTGAGATTCCACGTACAGTCTAGTTATCGATCTCAATGCTTGTTTCAGCTCTGCTACCTAATTAGGTGAATTTGTTCATAGATACGTGGCCAGTCCCACTGACGCTTCTCCTGAAGTCGCTACATTCACCGGATATCGCAGGCTGATACACTGCCACTGCATCCTGTGTGACGACGGTCAGTCTGAGGTTATTGAAACCTAAGCCAAAGAAATCCGCGCTTCGCTGCGTGACCACCTTCTTCGTCTTGTTCTGTGCGCAATCGCACGAGAACAGAAAGTTTTGAATACTGCCCCTCCGGGTTCCCGCATATACCTTCAGTCCATGCTTCGCCGCGAAGGTCTCCGAGACTGTCCCATCACTGGCTACGCGAGCCATAATTCGCCATGTACTTGGATTTGCGTTTTTTTGCGGATGACGAACGGAGAAGGTCGTGCCGATGGTTTTGCGGTTCCTTCGAGATTCATGCTGACTTTCGGTGAAAAGTTTTTGCTCTAGGTGCAGGTTCGGGTGTTTTAGAAGGGCACTGACGAAGATTATGTCTATAATATTCAAGAGGGGGATACGTCTGTGCTTGTTAAGTAATTGCGATCCTCCTGTGCTTGTATAAGCAGACATTAGTGCCGTATTCGGAGTTCCATTGGACTAATTCTTCTCACCACGTCTCTTGGAATGGTGATGCAAATTTTTGATGGGCTAAAGACCACAGTACTTGTATATTTTAGTTGCAAGTGGGTTGGCCTGGTGTGTTCTCGGTGATCGCAAAATGCCCTTTTCAATAGAAAATTTCCTGGAATGGTAGAGGGACGCTCACCGATCGTTTTTACGGAACTCACTCGTCCCCTTGTGCCTTACGGGCTCTCTCTTAAGTCCAACCAGCAACCGCACAGCGACGCATGATATAGGTAGAATGTTATTACCGACAAAGACAGTCTGCCTATATCATGCGTCGCTGTTTGGCTGCTGGTTGAGCTCAAGAGAGAGCCCGTAAGGCACAAGGGGACGAGTGAATTCCGTAAAAACGATCGGTGAGCGTCCCACTCTACTATTATATATTGCTAATGGCAACCTGCAGGACAAAGAGCCCGTGGCTCAGTGGTTAGAGACATTGGACTTCTAATATCTAAATACTTCAAATCTAAATATTATTCTTTATCTGCTTTTGAAAACTAATACCAAGTTAAAGGCGCAAAGGGAGTTGCGCGCACCGATCACGTTTTTCCTTGAAACATTCGGAGCCAGAGCTCTCATAGACAACCCCATAACGTCAGTCTGCAAATTATCTGTGAAGTCCCACTCAAATTACCGTTTCTGAATTAGTTGTCATCAACACCTAACCATACCCCAACAGCAGGCCGCGAGGACTTTAGATACGAGGCCTGATGTCGGCAGGTAAGCTATAGTTAATTATTTCAGTCTACCCTACAGTAGGTGGGCTAACTCATGAAATGTCAACCGAAATTCCGAAATGTGTTTTCGGTTCGAAAAGATTAATTAAGTTGGGTTGTAGAACTAGTCATCATGCAGCATAATTCTATAATAATTCAGTTACCTCAGGATGCCGGATTTTGAGCGCACTTCTTTTCGCCTGCACGCAAAAACTACACCCCGTAAAAAACGACTACTATGTGGCATGCATTTTTCTCATCGATTTTCGATATCCTTAAAGATTCAATTATATTTCATGAGAAACAAGCATAAAAATATTCATTCTTTTGCTCATTCGGTGGGAAATTACGTCTTCTTCCAATTTTATACTCGAAGGAAGGATGCAATTCGGTTTTAAAAAAAGTTTCAAACTGCGAGATATTTTACTACCGTGAAATGGCCGTTCATAAAACTTCATGTCTCTGCATTTACCAATATGGCTCGTAAAGTTAACAATATGGCTCAAATCCACTGCTAAATGTTATGAACCCCGAATGAAGGCGAAATTTCGAGTTTCAGGTGTATGCATAAATGAAGAAGAAGATGTAAGCCCCGGAACACCTCCTTTATTGTCCTGGGCTTTCAGACTCGTGCAGGAGTTCACCGTCAGAGGTAGTAGCAGCAACAGAACAAGCGACAGTTATAAGGCATGTAGGCCAATCATCGACCGACGGCGCAAGACTGGAGGTGACTGCGCAGGGCTCTGTACGCCGGCGCCAGATCGATAAATCAATTGGCCGAGCTCTCATCCGAGGCCCAGGCTTCAATAAATTCTCGGCCTGTTTTGTTTACGGTGTGGGCGACTATTTTGGTGGCTGCAAAGTTAAATTCGTGACCCATTTCGTAGGTGTGGGCGGCCACTTGTGATAATGCGTCGCCTCGCCGCGCAGCCAGCTTATGTTCGTGTATGCGCGTTCCGAGCATGCGCCCAGTCTGTCCTGTGTAGTTACAAGGACAATTTTGACACGGAATGCGATACACTACTCCATATTGCTCTTCAGGTTTTAACCTGTCTTTGATTTTCATGACCCTGCTGCGCATGGTGGCTTTGGGGCGGTGTGCAATTCCAACACCTAACTCCGCAGCAATGCGCTCGGTCGCTTCTGAAACCCCCTTGATATATGGCAGAAAATGCCATATCGTCCGTGGCGTTGATGTTCGAATTCTCTGGTGGCGACCGCGTAGGCAGCGACTTATGAATGCCCTCGGATAGCCATTTTGCGCAAACTGGTCGCGGAGATAACGGGCCTCACGTGCTCTGTCCTCCGGTTTGCTGCAATGACTTTAGATCCGTTTGAAGAGCGTCTTCACACAGCTTCGTCTGTGAGCCACTGGATGGTTGCTGTGAAAACTGAGAAGCTGTGTGGTATGAACCCCACATGGTCTCCTCTTAATACCATAGGGAAATTAATGGTTTTCAGTACACGAAAAATATATGGCTTGTTGTTTGGAAACTCTGAATGCAAGTGTAACGGTAGTTCGGGGTTAAAAATTATTCAGGAATTGGAAAAGTTTTTAAAACCCGATTTATACCCTTCCTTCGAGTATAAAATTAGAAGAAAACGTAATTTTCTACAGAATGAGCAAAAGAATGAATATTTGTATGCATGTTTCTCATGAAATATAATTGAATTTTTAATGGCATCTAACATCAATGAGAAAAATGCATGCTACTGAAGTAGTCACTTTTTGCAGAGCATAGTTCCTGCATGCAGGCAAAAAGAAGTTCGTTCAGAATCTGGCATCCTGAGGTAACTGAATTATTATAGAATTATGCTGCATGATGACTAGTTCTACAACCCAACTTAATTAATCTTTTCGAAACGAAAACGCATTTCGGAGTTTCGGTTGACATTTCATGAGCTAGCCCAGTTACTGTACCTCTGCTTTACACCCGACTTGAAACAACCACTTCGGGTCGATGAGCCGCAGGGGCAATTCTAAAGCATCATTGTACTGTACTGAGGGTCAATGAGTATTTTGAAATTGGCGGTGCAGGCAACAATCCCCTAATTAAACCCTCTTCAAAAATCTTGCAGGCGTCCTACCCCGACCCCTACCAACTGTAGATTTCAACATTAATGTGATCTTCAAAGCAGAGTTAAAGTAACCCTTACGGTTTGAAACCGGGATATTTTGTAAAAGCTAATTAGGGCAATTCGTTAAGCTGCGGAAGTCTGCGAGGTTTCCGGAATCCGGGGCTTTAAGACCGCTCGTACTCCATCAGCCATCAGCGTAATGTAGAGGAGCCCGCTTTAACGTACAATGAACGGACGTGATCGCCCCTCCGGAACGGGCATAATTGAAGATAATTTGAAATATAGGCCTTTGCGAAAGTGTGAATTCTACACTCACCGTCTGGCACGGACTTGGTAGGAGACTACTCACTACGACAATGTTAACAGCGTCGAATATGTTGCGAGTGAATGAATTTTGGTGAGCAGTGCTCAGTGTTTTGTATGCTCAATAAACACTGCGCAAGGGCGATGCATAACTTAGTGAAAGTTGGCAGAAGAGCGCTCACCGATCGCGCTACGGAAGTCACTCATCCTCTTGTGCCTTAGGGCTGTCTCCCGAGCCCCGCCAACAGCCGCACAGTAGCGCGTGATATAGGCAGGGCAGCATTACTGACAATGACAAGGGAGACCGGGATGGCCATTTCTGGTTTATTGGCTGTCGTCAAACGGTTATACCCAGCCCTGAAGTGTGGACCACCTGAGGCTCTATCCCGCGATCCGTTGGCTGGGCATGAGTGGCTGAAGACGGCTAATAAGCCAGAAATGATCATTGCAGTCTCCCTTGTTTTTGTCCGTAATGCTGTTCCGCCTATATTATGTGCCGCTGTGCGGCTGCTGACAGGGTTTAAGTGAGAGCCCCAAGGCACAATGGGACGAGCGATTTCCGTAGCGCGATCGGTCAGGGCCCTTCTACCGTTGTACATACCCGGTCGCAACCGACAGCACAGCGAGCGCGTGGGTCACTGGTTAGAGGCATGGGCTTCTAACTACCAGGTCGCGAGTTCGAGCCCTAGGTGTTCCACACTTCGGGGTCGAGTATGACTGGCTGACGACGGCTAATGAGTCAGAAATGGTCATTCCCTTTTCGCCTTTATCTGTAATGTTATCCTGCATATATATATCTATATACGCATAGTGGTGGAGGGACGCTTGCCGATCGTTTTACGGAACTCACTCGTCCCGTGGTGTCTTAGGGCTCTCTCTCGAGTCCAAGTAGCAGCCACAAAGCGGTGCATGATATAGGCAGATTAGCATTACTAACAAAGCTTCAGGTGTTCCACAATTCGGGGTTGGGTATGACTGGCTACGACGGCTAATAATCTAGGAATGGTTATGCCGGTCTCTCCTATTCTTGTCGGTAATGCTACGTACTGAAAGATTTTTTCAACTTTTCTGAGTGCTTAGTCCAGACAGCAAAGTGTAGAAGACTGTAATTTAGTCAACCTTACCGTATACCACTGAAGGAGGTTAATATGCTATTACAAATTATGTTTTAAACGGAATATTTGTTCACCAAACGCGGAGCACAAGTATAACCTAAAAGTCCTAACACACACTGTGCAATCGAGAGAGTCTGATACAATATGCCTGGGGCCCTTTTTGTAGGTTTGTAGTAAATAAACGAAGATTTTCAATTGATTTTCCTGTAGCCGTCACGTGGTTTCAGTGTGTTTGCCACTTGGTAAAAACGAAAAGTGTTTTAATAATGGTCCCGTGCCTGGTAAAATGCGGTACTTTCATGGATTCATAATACTTAGCCCGTACATTTCTCCTTCTGGAAAATTAACCTTACCCTGAGGGTTTCTGGTTAGTATCAAACATGTACCAGGCAAGACTGTCATCGATATCGAGAGTTACAACATTTCGCCTGAAAACTACAAGTTTGCGAGCAGCCAATTCCGTTTTCCGAAGCCTTGGTTGTGAAGTAAACTTCTCATTCCCGACTGAACGAACGCCAACCTTGAGATAACATGTCTGCAATGAGCTAGTCGAGTCGGACAGTTGAAACGTGCACGGGGATCGACAGTTCCCCGCATGCCCTTAACCCCGCACACCATCATCGGGAGATCGAATAGGGATCTGGCTGACTTTGTTGTCTATGCGAGTACTTGTGACTACGGCCAGTAAAAGGTCGGTGCGATCCATTTAATTGGCCTCATATGGAAGCAACCGAATCGGTTTTTGATTGCGAAGCATTGATTATCGAGGGCATATTGTTGGCTGACTCGAACAATCAGAGCAAAATCTTCACTGTTTAATTTATCACCCGTCCTTATTGTCTTCTGTGAGTTGCGGGCCTTACACTCAAGTTTCTTCATTCCTCATCAATGACAGTATCGATTGTAGGTAAGTACTGCCCATATGAAAAGTGGCTCCTTTTAAACAGGTTTATAGTATTCACATACATACAGACAGCAGAATCGTCTTCGGATTCCGTATAGTAGCGTAAATTTTCAAAGTATGTGCTGGATGATGCGTTTTTCATGGTCCAGGGAAGTGAAGCTAACCGCTTGCCTGTCCATTATTTTTCTCATTTTGAGTTACCGTTTGACGCTGGTTGCGTCCCTAAAACGAGTCACACAGTGGACGCGCTATCAGAAGCTATCAGGAAGGCGTACGCATAATAAATTCCAATATTAGGGTGTGATGGCGCGCTTATATGAAGGCTCACGTCCCGTGCACGTGCCGCCTCCTACTTCTGCATAAAATCCTGGTCAGTATGCGTTGTGAAGTAGGGCATGTGGTGGCACGCCTATGTGCGGGTTTCCGCCGCGTCAGTCACGTGTACCCTCTCCCGCCTCCGACCTTTTTGACTCTGTCTTGACATCGGGCCCAGGTGAGGGGGAGGGGAGAGGAGAGAGGATGGCGGACGCTGCGAAAGTCTACTACCACTTTAAGCTACCTCGCACGCAAGTCACCATCCTTGCTCTCACAATAATGTGGAACACGCGGTGGACATTGTCGGCAACGACGGCCGAACAGCATTTTAATGATGATGCTGATACCTAGCCCCGTGCTCTCATTCGTTGTTTGAAAGCATCTGTCTTAACTGAGAAGGATGGCGTGCATACAAGGTGACCAAGTCCCTCAGTAGTGTTTCATTGGGAGGTTAAGTTGGCCTTGCTGTTTTGGACATCCTACTGAACTCCAATGTTATAAGAGGAGCTTATACACTTTCAGTGCAAATAAGTGGTACTAAGCCGCTGCCTCCGCTAGAAATCCGTCCAGACTGTCTTCTATGAGCGTTTTCGGGACAAGTATTTATCATGATTTGGGCGCTTAAAAAATATCCCTGCTCCATCAGACCAAATGGCGTAAAATAAAACGAACTACAAAAATGTGTTATCCAGTAGCACATTGATTGTCTTATTGGAAATTTTGTCTTGTGTTTGGGCGAAAGGCGGGAGTTGAGTGCTCATGGCTCTGTACGGTGGCGTCAGATCGATAAATCGATTGTTATCGGCCTGTTTTGTTTCCGGCGTGGGCGTCTACCTTGCTGGCTGTGAGGTTAAAATCATGACCCATTTCATAGGTGCGGGTGGCCACTTGTGATAATTCTTCACCTTGTCCACAGCCAGCTTGTGTTCGAGTATGCGCGGTTCGATCATGAGTCTATAAAACGTCCTTCTGTGTGACTCGAGCGTTTACCACTATAATTTTCATACCCATAGCATCTAAATGTTATAGGCAAAAACACAGAAAGCTCTCACTATCGAATTTTTGGTGTCATGAAAACCCCTGGTAGGAGGACGGCTGGGAGGAGTGAGGTTCACGATCTGTGAGGAAGTGCGTAGGCCGGCTATAACCAACTTTCCCACGCTGGGGCTTCAACCGGGGAAGAATAGGAACTGTGATTGACGTTTTTTAGCGTTGCAGCCCTGCGGGTGGGGGAGGGGGGGAAGGGTAGATAGTGCTGTCACCGTTGTGCTTTTGAGGTAGGGGTGGCCGCGCATGTATGCTCCTAGGCCCTCTTAGTGACAGCCGAGGTGGACATAGTTATCACTGGAGTTAACATCCTCGTCGGTAGGCAGCGTACCCACGGCCGTCGTGATCTTCCACTCGTAACGACGGCGGCTTTTATGTGTGGTCATAACAACGTTGGACAGGAAGTCATTCCGGTGGAGCATTGGTTACTGTTTGACGAGATAAGTAGCAAGACCTAGGGTATACGGTAAAGAGCGTTGCTCTGCCTCCCATCCGGAAGTTGACTTGTGACTCCTTGCAGCGCTCTCTAGAGGGAGGACATGGATTTGCGTGTAATGTGGGTGTTGTAACGGACCTTTGGAGGTATCTTTTACGTGAGAGAGAGTTCCCACTCAGAAAGTAATCCACTTCTGTCAAGATGAAGATTGGATCTGGAGAAACTTATTGGCTGCCGACTAGAGTAAATCACCCTAAAACAGGTCTCCGCTGTTGAGCTATTCGAAGTCACGGTTTTCGGGTATTCTGGAAGCGCAGCTCTCGTCGGTGACGCCTTTGGACTCAAGTCGTCAGAAGACATGATCATTATCAGCACAAGTGCGCTAAAGAAAACGTCAAGATGAAGCACAATGGTGGACAAATTAAACATGCAGAAATCTCACAAATTGTGTGTTCTAAGGCACTGAAAAGGTCGGTGTGAGAACTGTAGACCACCTCATCCATGATCTTGCTGAAAACCAGCAGGGCGAACGCCTTTGTTCCTTTTTCGACGTTGTCGACAGTGACAGATGTTAACATCTCCAATAATTCTTACAAATGCTTAAAATTTTTGTCAATGTTATAGGATGGTAATTTCACTGGTTAGTTAGAGCACAGTTGGTCAAAGAATGTAGGCGTGAGAAGATTCATATAAATGTTTCACTAGTCTGATGAGCGACGTATCGTGTAGTCGAGTTCCTTCCACGCAGTGACGGAGGGAACCTAAAATATCGGTAAATAGTTGGAAATAATCTCTGCAATGAGGATGTAGTAGACATGGGAGTTCACAAGAGATAGCTAGAATAAAATTCCCCATTGTTCGACTTTTCAGAGAAGAAGAAGAAGAAGAAGAAGAAGAAGAAGAAGAAGAAGAAGATGATGATGATGATGATGATGATGATGATGATGATGATGATGATGATGATGATGATGATGATGAAGAGGGAATTGGGGACGAGGAGTGGGAGTGGGAAGGGGAGAAGAGGAGGAGGAGGAGGAGGAGGAGGAGGAGGAGGAGGAGGAGGGGATGGAAAGGCAGGGTGCAGAACCATCAGCCTGCAACAGCCGACGTTGGCAAACAAAACGAGAATAAGTTGAAGAGAAAAAAACTGGCCACGTGAATGATAAATAGCCATTAATGAGGAGGAGGACGACTGGGCGTAAGTCTAATCTTTCTTTTTTGTTGCGTTATTAATTGAGGCGCGCAGTCAAACTGTCAAAGCATATGACTTATGACAATGCCGGCGGAGCAAACATGAGTTAACAGCCATAACGTCGGTGATCTTTGTCTCAGAAGTGTACCCCCAAATTATTTATTAATGCACGCCGACACACATAAATGGTCTGCCCTAATAAAACTGGGTCATCTGCGGCCGATCGCCTCCTTTAGTCGCATTCCTCTGTTTGTCTTCACAACCTTTTCTGACGTTACAGATGTTGTTTGCATGTACCGGCTTTCCTACTTAATAAAGCATGATTAGCCAAATGGCATTTCCTCTAAATTCTAAGCAAGGAAAGGACAGTGCAAATATCAGCGTGTGTCAGGGTACAACTTTTAAGTGATAAGCAATAATGGCACCAAACTCCAGTTGGGGCATATTTTGCGCGGCATTTGTGCCACCAGCCGTGAGTTCGTGTTGAATTTGTGCAGGCAGTATGTTCCTCCCGCTTTGAAGGTGACCTTGAGTTAAATTCCAGGGGGTACTTTTTACCGTGTGCTAACTGTAGCCCTAACTTCTCTCCTCCCCCTCCCCCTCTGGAATTCAGCTGAGGAAACTTAGGTTTCGCATGCAAAAAATCAGCAAATAAAACATCATAAATAGAATAACATTTGAAAAAAGTCCTCTAGTGAAGTTTGAATTTAAACATCTTTCAAGAATAAGTGTACTATCAGGTATAGTGGTTGGTCAAGGGCCTACACTTTGAGTATAGGTTCCAAAACGGTTTCACGAAAGTTGGCTGTATTTTTTCCGTTTTGGCATTGTTTGAGATACGGCTGACTAGGGCAAACAGGGTTTTGCTTGATTTCGCCGATAGACCCGTCACAGAAGTAAAAGCTTTCCCAAGGTCACCTGTTGGTAGTCTGGTTAGTGACTAATAAACTTGCATAGAATTGGGAGGTGCAAGCATAAACATACCATTTTGTGTATATAAAAAGGACCTTTCGGTCGGATCTTATTTCCTCCCGGTCCAGCCCCTAGCCGTAACCCACAACCCCTAACTCCTAACCCTAATCCCTTACCCCAAATCCCAACCCCTAACCTTAACAAATAACCCCTAACAGGTACGACTACGAAATAGGGTCTTGTCGACTTTTCTTCCATGAAAATTATTGGCCCTTTTTTCCGCAGCTAGAGCGCATTTACTTTCGGACTGTCCCGGAAAGGTAGGTCAATACCTCACGATTTTCAGTGTTTTCGGTTGATTGCCCATAAAGATAGGTCCTGGGCTACATACTTAATAAAACCTTCAAAACAAAATATTTATTGAAAGTAGTCACCAAAGTAGTGAGTTCTTGGACATTCCTTGTGATCCACATGGCCATTTGGGTCATATTTGTAGAATCACCCAAACAGGATACCTTGTCGCTGAGAAAATTGAACGTCCATAACGAAAGTCGGCAATGAATATGCTCTAGAGCGATTGAAGAACATTCTACAATAAGTTGCCTATTTAAAAAACGTTTTAATAAAACACTTCCCTGACGGTTGTCTGCCCACTTTACCTTTTTCCAAGGTAAAATCTAGCTAAAACTTGAAACGTTTGGTCGACCTTTCGCTATCCTGAAAGATGATGATAATTCGTTGGCAAGATCCTATTTCGCAGCCGTACCTGTTAGGAGTTGGGGGTAGGCTTTAGGGGTCAAGGTTAGGGATTAGGGTTGGGGGTTGGTGTTGGGGGTTAAGGTCAGGAGTTAGGGGTTGGGGTTAGGCTGGGACTTGTTTACTGCAGATACGGCTATGAAATATAATCCGACCAATCTTTCTGCTGAAAACGAAAAAAACTCATTCTCTGCTAATATTGGACCCATTTCCTCTATATTTGCTTACTTTTTAACTGTTCCACGATTGTAAATGCACAACAGAATGGCCACATGAATACTAAGATATTGTCAAAACTGCCAATTCTTAACCCGTTTCGTTTCTAAGTCACGCATCAGTGGAAACTTGACTATACCAGAAGTATCTTATCGTATGCTTAAAAATAACATAGCCACATGGTAGAGGACCTTTTCGAGGCACGTTATTGAGTAGAGAAGTGACATATATGTATAAATCTACATGCATATGCAGAGTAACATTCCTAACAAAGACAAGGGAGGCTGGAATGACAACTTCAGTCTCCACTGTCTTTGTCGATTAGGTCATACTGTCCATACCACTAGTCACTGAGCGGCGGCTGGAGGGGCACAACGGGACGAGTGAGTCCCGTAACACGATAGGTGAACGCCGCCGCCGCCGCCACCACCACCACCACCGTAATTAATGAGTATTCGCAAAGGGTAAGAAAATGCCAGCGCGCTGAAACAAGGGGTTGCCAGTAGCCGTTATTACCGCCTCAGGGCATGATATCATACAGATCTATAAATGATTATTTAAATAGGCAAAGCGCCCGAAAAAATCAATTTTCAAGTTCAGAGTGTTCTGTTCGGTAAAACTTTCGAGTTTAATTTACTCTACTCTCACAGAAACACGCACCGCAGTGCAAACTTAGCCAAGGACGATTATTTACATGTGTAACAGGCTAAATAGAAGGTAACGTAGATTTTCGCTATAATTTATAAATATTGTGATTGGTAAAGTTATTTATAAATATATCCGACATATAAAAAGTGTTTTCTGGAGCGGGCTGCACTACTAAATAAAATGCGCAACATTTAAGGTGCCTACAACGGATGATCTTAATTTCCGTCAACATGTTTAAAGAGTTAGGTCACAAAATGTGGTTTGGACCTTGAAAATCGTTAAAAAAAATTCAACCTGATCTGGTGGAAGTCCGTCCACGCCGATGTCTGCAACAAAATTTTTGTAGTTTTAGTTTCAGAAGACAGATGGTAGACGCCTGCCTTACTTTATTGGTCTTTTTCATGAGCGGTCGTCTTCAAAAGGCTATCTACCAACCGTAGATCATAAATGGCTAGTTTTTAATCCCAGTGCATAGTGGGAGCACTACATTCTCTCTAAAATAACAAGAAAGCACGGAGTTCCATGAGTTCTAACTACCGTCATCTTTGCCACCCAAAGATCAGACATTACTTTAAGTTGTGTAATTATCTATAGTGCTAACAACACAGGCATTACCTAAAAGTCCATACACACGTGTTTCGCCGATCTTGTGCCGCTGGCTGACGCAACTGCGAGGGGTTCGACTCATCAGTGGGTCCCCCAGCTTTCCCCGCGTGTTTTCTGGTATATGCACTTCAGTGTACGGTAAATAATTACACAATTCTTTACCACTGGCTGCCTGTTGGCGTTTTGTGAATATTACGCGGTCATCCCGCCGTAGCTGGTGGATTTCAGCTCAAATATTCATATCAAATTTCGGACAGTGCCTGTAATAGTCTATTCCGAAGGATTTACTCCAAGTTCGTGCGTCGATTTCCTCGGAAATTAAACAAGGCAAATTACTTTAAATGCCAGCAGCCACATGCAGTCTCTCGACTTAGGGAACAGCTCCAAATTGACTTTATCTCACTGCTAGATACCGCCTCTTCTCTGGGTAGGAGATTTAATAGTAAGGATCGGGTGAATGCTCCAAGCATCTGTGGCACACAAAGAATATCTACTACACGTATTTAAGTGGATTTTAGCCCGACACCACACAGGCACCTTTGGCTGGTCGTGTGTGTTTGGGCTCCTTCACCCGATCGTTGCTGCTGATTTTACTCTCTTTTTTCTGCCAAATTTGCGACGTTATTAAGCTTTCACACTGCTAGCTTTTATCCGCTTCTGCAATTTTCGTTAGCGGTTGAAAACCCTTTCAGGCGTTGCTTTTCTGCGCTGACACCTCCACTCAACGCGGCCGGATAAGCAGTTTAGATAAATACTATTTGCGGTGCTAGACCTCTCCTGGGGTAGAAACAGGCTCGCCGTCAGCAAAAAATGAAAACATAGAGGAGATCTAATGAACTGCCAGCAGAACGACTGCGACCAAAGCAGCGGCAGCAGTCATGCTGGCATGATGACGAGCAGACAGCTCGTGCACAGGCTGTGGCTACAACAACCGCGCTAGTCACCTCTTCGGTAATGGCAGCCGCAGTCGCCGCCACCGCCGCCGCAGCGCGTTTTCGACCTGCAACTGCTTCAGTGACGCTGCGATGACAATGCCTTTCAGGCTCCGCGCCGCACTGCGCCACCACCCCCCTGCTATCGATCGATTCTCAGTGCGTGTTTGGCCGGTCGGAGGGCGCACGCGCACGCCACGACGTGATGGTACCCAGAGCCGGTGGCACGGTGCGCCTCCTGACCAGCTGACAAAGTTCCCACGCTCGTGGGAATACGGCTCCGTCAGACGTTATCGCGCACATGCGCCGCGTCCGCGAGCATGCGGGCGCACAGCACGCACACACACACACACACACATACTGACTAAGCATGCATGCATGCACAGTAATTGATGCAGCGCCGGAAGGTGCGCATGTGCGTGCGTGTGCGTACGCACTGAGCTGCGGCAGTCTCGCTGTCCGACTAATCGGACAAGCACAGGAAAACGTCTCTACCGCAACTTTACACTCTGCGAGAGCTACTCGGTTAAGCAAATAGGCCTCTGGTCCACTTCTAGCGGCATTTTAATGGACCGGAATTCATTAAGAGAATACTGCAGGGAGTCGGGACCGCTGTAGTAACCTTGACGGCCAATTCACCACGGGGTTTGCCGAAATTTCCATTGTCTGATTCATTCAAAACGAATTCCAGAGACACAGAACACTTACACCCGCTAACGAAGACCAACAAATTGTGCGCAAGGCAGTACGAACACAACAGACGTGTACAGAAAAACCAGATCGAACCAAATAACCCATTACCTGGATTCAAATAAATTTTCGGAATGAGTGGAATTTTTTAATTTTGTAGACGATCGACAGCGATACCTACTGCTGCTCTAGAAGGCTTAGGAACCT